TGGTGTTGATTTAGATTCAGCTACTGGGACAAAAAGTTCCAAGCAGCACGGGCTATGGTGAGCCCGTCGAACTCACCTGGCACAGATGTGCTCTTCACCTTTCTAGAGAATGTAAATTAAGATTTTTCAATCTCTTCATATGGAACATTTCTAATTTGCAGAATTAACTTTGTCATCCTACCCTGAACAGGTTCTAGGGACTTTATGTCCTGTAATATGGCAATCAAAACTGAACTCCATAATCTAAATGGGGCCTAACAAGAGTAAGATGTATATCTTGAGGTTATCTTGAGATGATTTCGGGGCTTTAGTGTCCCCGCGGCCCGGTCCTCGACCAGGCCTCCACCCCCAGGAAGCAGCCCGTGACAGCTGACTAACACCCAGGTACCTATTTTACTGCTAGGTAACAGGGGCATAGGGTGAAAGAAACTCTGCCCATTGTTTCTCGCCGGCGCCTGGGATCGAACCCAGGACCACATGATCACAAGTCCAGCGTGCTGTCCGCTCGGCTGACCGGCTCCACACATTGCTAACGTTCCTAGAAATAAATCCCAGTATCCTAATTGCCTTATTTCGTACATTTATGAATTTATTGTTGTTACTTTAATTTGAACATTTATGCATTTATTTTGTTGGTGTTAAATTCTTACTAATCATGACCCCCTCAGATCTTTTCGCAATCAGACTTTCGCAATTTCAACCTCATTTTTCAGTCTTCTGAGTTTATTTCCATCCCGATTTTCGTATCGTCGCCAAATTAGTTTTTTCTTTATTAAATAATAGGGAAGGAAGACAAAGTCAAGAATTAGAACCCTTTCTTCCAAAGAGAAATTCAAACTTAATTAACATTCTGTAGAAAGACGAAGCGTAAGGAGTGATATGATTGAAATATATGAATGTATAAAATAGTATAACAGAGAGGGATATAAATAAGGTTTTAAATATATCAACACAGAATGGAACACACAAAACAATGGACACAAATTTGGAAAAGTTTAAATTCGAGAAAGGCATAGGGTAGATACATGTTTGCAAACACTGTTGTTGATCTATGGAGCAAATCACCAGATGGTTGGACGTGGTAGATTGGTAAATTGTTTCAAGCGTAGGTTGGACATATATGAATGAGGTTGGGAGCTGATATAAATAGGAGCTGCCTTGTTAAGGTCAATAGGCCTTTTGGGAAATATCTACAGGCAGGCCATGAGTCACAATAACGTGGCTGAAGTATGTTGACCAGACCACACACTAGAAGTTGAAGGGACGACGACGTTTCGGTCCGTCCTGGACCATTCTCAATCGACTTGAGAATGGTCCAGGACGGACCGAAACGTCGTCGTCCCTTCAACTTCTAGTGTGTGGTCTGGTCAACTTATTGAAAGTAACATTATTATGCAGCCCATTCTCTCGAGTTGTCACAGCAGGCCGAAAAGGCTGTATTAAATTACCCGAACCTAACCTAGCCTAGCCTGTGATCCCACGCATAGAAAAATGTGACTGCAAGCTGCTATGATTTATAGTACACAACTATGCTGTCCGCTGGTGAGTTTGACGTCAAAATACAATGTATTCGAGAGAACAGGTTAAACCAGCCCTCTGATTCGGCACAAACTATTTTAAACCCCTCCAGGTTACATGAGACTGTAGTTTTTCTTTCCACCCAGCTCCACCACATCATTAGCGAACCCTAACCTTACTAAACCCTCACTGCCTTGAGTTGTTGTTGTTGTTAAAGAGACGCTACTTGCAACAAACAGTTCCAAGTAGCACGGGCTATGGTGAGCCCGTAGATAGTTATTTTTGCCTTGAGTACTCTGAATATGGGACGCTCCTCTCTGAGTGGAGAGATTGCACTGTTCCACGGTAGATATCCTTGAAGCCTAGTGTACATACTCTTGTTTATATAGAGAATAGACAGTTACAGCCCCGCTCCTGTGTCTGGTAAGTCTAATACGGGCTCACCATAGCCCGTGCTACTTGGAACTTTTTGTTCCCAGGAGCTGAATCTTAAAACACCAACATTACAGAATGGAGACGTTGTTGAACTATCCTTGAAGCCTAGTATAAATACTCTTGTTTATATAGAGAATAGACAGTTACAGCCCCGCTCCTGTGCCAGGTAAGTCTAATACGGGCTCACCATAGCCCGTGCTACTTGGAACTTTTTGTTCCTAGGAGCTGAATCTTAAACACCAACATTACAGAATAGAGACGGAATTCTCATGTCTTGAAACGAGTTTCTTGCTTCACCATCTATATTGTTGATTGTTGGGGACCTACTGCCTCATACAAGTTTTTTTTTGTTTAGTTTAGTTCATATATTATGCACCCCATACCCATGTTGTGGGCGGTAGTGGAAAGGGTTACAGAGGCACATAATGGGCTCGGGGACTGAACCGAGGCAGCTTCTATTTATATTCTCCGAAATCTATTCATATAATGTATATGTCTAACCTATACTTGAAACAATCCAACGATTCCACGTCAATTATGTTGCGCTATAATTTGTTCCTTAAACCAACCAAGTAATAATAATAATTAACTATTTGACTTGAAGTATACTATCTCTAAAAATATATATTTTGAATTTTAATAATGTTGAATGTATTAAAAGCTATAGAAAATCTTATATGTTTAAAATAGCACTTTACACGTTGATGTATAATGCTGGGGATATATTGAGGTTAATGTATTATGTTCATCATTAATAGAGTACTTAGTCCTCCTTGGGGCCGGTCGGCCGAGCGGACAGCACGCTGTACACGTGATCCTGTGGTCCCGGGGTCGATCCCGGGCGCCGGCGAGAAATAATGGGCAGAGTTTCTTTCACTCTATGCCCCCCTGTTACCTAGCAGTAAAATAGGTACCTGGGTGTTAGTCAGCTGTCATGGGCTGCTTCCTGGGGGTGGAGGCCTGGTCGAGGACCGGGCCGCGGGGACACTAAAGCCTCGAAATCAACTCAAGATAACCTCCTTCTGTCGCTGGATGCTCAGTAATTAGGTGTACTGCAGCAGTTGTGTAACCCTGTCTATGTAGCACAGATATATATATATATATATATATATATATATATATATATATATATATATATATATATATATATATATATATATATATATATATATGTCGTACCTAATAGCCAGAACGCACTTCTCAGCCTACTATTCAAGGCCCGATTTGCCTAATAAGCCAAGTTTTCATGAATTAATGTTTTTTCGTCTACCTAACCTACCTAACCTAACCTAACCTAGCTTTTTTTGGCTACCTAACCTAACCTTACCTATAAATACAGGTTAGGTTAGGTTAGGTAGGGTTGGTTAGGTTCGGTCATATATCTACGTTAATTTTAACTCCAATAAAAAAAAATTGACCTCATACATCGAGAAAAGGGTTGCTTTATCATTTCATAAGAAAAAATTATAGTAAATATATTAATTCAGGAAAACTTGGCTTATTAGGCAAATCGGGCCTTGAATAGTAGGCTGAGAAGTGAGTTCTGGCTACTAGGTACGACATATATATATATATATATATATATATATATATATATATATGAATCTTCTTGAGTGCAATGTGTTTGCTGCCAGATGTTCGTGTTGCAGCCAATCAGAAGGCGTAAATCGCTGAACAAAATTACGTCACAGGGAACGTTTCAAGCCAGTGGTGCCTGTGGCAGCCAATCAGGACAGAGCACGTCACCGAGTATATGACGTCACTAGTGACGTTTCCATTCTACTGTGCGTGTTGCAGCCAATCAGAATTAAGTACGCCACTAGGGGGCTGACCGCTTCTCTAATCCAGTGGTTTCCACACCAAACCAGACTGCAAGGCTGTTGACGATTAATTAGCTGTAATTTACATCCCCAAATTAGATCCTTAGTGTTAGCTGCGATTGTCTGAGTGTCACAAACTGATGAGTAAGCCTATCCCAAAGATATTTTGTGACCTGTGACAAGCCTTTGTTATTAATTTTGGCACGCAAAACAAATTTAAGTTGGATAATCATATTTTAGTATGTGTGTACATTTAACTACAGAATGCGCCTTACCAAAGTAAAAGAACAAATAATAAAATAAGACTGATATATGGTTCTATTTATAAGCTCCAGCAAGAATGCTTAGGCCCATTATTTAGTGTTAGGTCTTTGGGGTAGATTAGAATGGATTTATACTGTATAACCTTGCTTCTCGGTTTATATATATACACTGAGTTTATTTTAGTACTTCACGGGCTTACTCTAGCCATAGACATTTCGTTCTGAGTAGCTAAATCTATAAGAACTTTAGTTCAGAACTAAAGTATACTTTCTGGTTGGTCAGTAAGGTATTGTGGCGGCCTTAGCAATCTTCCAGAGGTTGATGGGCCTTATCTTGAGGTTATCTTAGATGATTTCGGGGCTTTTTAGTGTCCCCGCGGCCCGGTCCTCGACCAGGCCTCCACCCCCAGGAAGCAGCCCGTGACAGCTGACTAACACCCAGGTACCTATTTTACTGCTAGGTAACAGGGGCATAGGGTGAAAGAAACTCTGCCCATTGTTTCTCGCCGGCGCCTGGGATCGAACCCAGGACCACAGGATCACAAGCCCAGTGTGCTGTCCCCTCGGCCGACCGGCTCCTATTGGGCCTTAAGCCCAATATCAGATTTGCTGCTTGGGTCAGCAAGATATTGAGGTGGGATTAATAAATTTGAGTTTATTAAGTTTAAACTGAGCAGGCAATGGATATGTAACTGTTTTCTGTACCGTAGTGTCGTCTTTTGTTTCATATTTGCTAATGTAAATATTATTTTCTCTCTGTAATGTCAATGTTATAAGTAGTGAGGGTAAAGCTCAATGTTCAATTGCTATACCACCCATTTATATTTTGCTTATAAATGGGTATTTATCCCATTTAGGTGCTAATAGTTTAGATCTTAAACAAGTAACCAGAGCAAGATATGATAAACAGAATCTTTACGAACATCTTGTAGAGCTAAAACATTTTTTTTAAGTAAAACACAGATATCATTTGATTTTTATTAAACAGTACATTTAAAATATATATCTCATTTACATAATTTAATATTTATAACACATTTTGTGCTTCAAATAAACAAGGTGGAATGTACAAAAGTTAAGATTACCGGGACATTCACAAAGGACTAGTGGTATCGCAGACCTGCCAGGCGCTGCGAAAATACTGAGCAAAGATGAGACCAGTAGAGGCTCTTTGAGATCGGCGCTCTCTACCTGGGCACAAGAGGACGGCGGGGCTCACGCTCACCCTGGCTGCAAGGTGAGCAGCTTGGTCAGCGTGTCTCTATGCCAAGGTACTGCAATAATGTCAGGTTTTGTCTGTCTCTAAGATAGCACTGATGTGGTTAGCTGCTGGGCTTAGTGCCTAAAGGTATAACACCCATAGTTGTCATCCGACAAGGGGGTACTCTTTCTTCACATTTAATCTTTCAAACCTTCACATATCTTCCATTTCTTAAATAAGAATGTCTCCATTCCAACAGCTGCCTGCTTTTCACCTTTGGAATAAAGGCCTACACACCCATAGTTGTCATCCGACAAGGGGGTACTCTTTCTTCACATTTAATCTTTCAAACCTTCACATATCTTCCATTTCTTAAATAAGAATGTCTCCATTCCAACAGCTGCCTGCTTTTCACCTTTGGAAGATTGTCTCTTATAATGTCTAGACATTTTTAATCAGTTCTCCTGAATCAATTTTCCTGACAATAAGCAGAGGGATTTTCCTATCCCCTTTTTTTAACTTGGTGAGCAATTCTGAGTAAATGACAACCTTGAAGAAACTAGCAGAAATTTAGGAACTCTGACACAATGTCGTCAATCGGCTTTCCTCTCCAGCCAAACTTGGTCCACATGTCCTGATCAGGTACGCTGCACTCTAGGAGCAGCCTGAGGTTGACCTTGACCCGGTCCATTGCAGAGAGTGAAGGCTCCTTGCAAGGCTGTGAGCCCATAAGTTTTAGCGTTCGCATGAGAACTTCGTCGACAGATGTTTGTGGATGACCTAATTGCTCGAGCCGTTCATTACCGATGAGTGCTTCCAGTACTCGCTGTACTGTGTTGATGAACGTACACTCACGCTTACGACGCGTCTCTTCACGCAATAGGTGTTCTTCCAACTGTTGTTGTTGCTGGCGCCGACGGATGGCTTCCTGCTCCATGACAAGTTTGTGTTCATCCATGAAGTTATGTTCCTTTTTTCTTTGAAGACATAAAAGGAGATCATAGGGACAAGTGAGTCGTTCGCCAGTCTCCGTGGTGAAGACTGCCATGCGCGGAGTATCACTAGGATGAGAGGACTCTGGCTTGGGCACCTGGAGATCTGGGTACATGCGGTGCAGTAGAAGGTTGTAGTCAATGGGAGTGCTACCAACAGGTAATTGCTGTCTAATGGGCGGCGCATCCATGATATGTGGCAGCATTAGAGGAGGTCCAGAAGCGACTGGAGATCGAGGTGGGGAGAGAGTGTCACTGACGGGGCTAGCGCCTCTACCGCTGTCATCACTGATGTATCCAGGAGATCGAGACCTGACAGTGTCGCTTCCATAGCAGGTGTAAACCTCTGGTCCACAAGCGCTGGGCCCTTCAGAGGCCCGTCGCAACTCACGAAATGGCAGCTGTTGATCCATAGAATCACTGTCCCATGATATGGAGGCTGGTGAGGAGTTGGTGATGGGAGAGTTGGAGGTGTTGGTGTCCTTGACTTCCTTGACGTCTGAATTACTTGAAAGAGGCGAGAACTTCCATTGTGAATCTTGTTGTTGTGTTGGTTGCGGCTGTTGCTTGCGTGATGCCCTCTCCGGGTTGTCGTGATCGCGGATGTGACGATCGAGAGCCTTGCGAGAGTTGAAGAACTCCTCACATAAGGTACATTTGTACAGCTTCTCGCCAAGATGGGACATTTTGTGCATCTTGAGTACATGGTTGTATCCGAAGGTCTTGCCGCAGACGTCACACTCGTAGGGCTTTTCACCTGTGTGTGTACGGATGTGTACTTTGAGTTGCTTGGAGCATGTGAATCCCTTTTGGCAGTATTCGCAGGTGTATGGCTTTTCACCGGTGTGGGCTCGCATGTGAATCACAAGTTGTCCGGACTGAACGAATGTCTTACCACACACCTGCAAAACCAAAAAAAAACAAATTGTATTTTTTGTTTAATTATCAAATGCGCAATATTAACAGTCGGATTCTTGAAAGTTAATTTATACAAGCTGATAACAGAGTAAAAGTACACTTTATATATTTTAAATTATTATATTAGAGCCTAACGAGTACATTATAATTGTTTTGAGTGGTAATCATTGTTGCTTAATGACAGGTTAGATACATTCAACTCATCACTTCAACTTATGCTAATACACCCATCTGGATACAGTTACCTATAATACATCTAGATACAGTTACCCATAATATATCTGGATACAGTTACCTATAATACATCTGGACACAGTTACCCATAATATACATATGGCTGCTGGGGACATATAATTGCGAAACTATCAGAGAGCAAAATAACAACCTATCCAAGTGTAGAGTTGATAGCTCAAGCATGTAATAAATTAGCAAACAAATGCTAGCAGATCTGTTATTTAATTATAATCTACAGTAAGAGCCAAATTTATTGACAATTTCTCTGACATACTAATAAAAGTTTAGTATGTCATACTAAACTAATAAAAGTTTAGTATGTCATACAAATATCACTCAAGCTTGCTTCAGCGTATAACTTGGTGATTTAGAAAATAGTGCTGTAATAATAATAATAATGGTTGAGGGACAGGCAGCCAGTGTATATATACACCTTAGGCTTATATCGAGGTCCGCCTTTCCACCCACCTCAGGTCGAAATGCTAACCCTTTCTAAGATGCAACCCCACAACATGCTAACTAACTCCTGGGTACTTATTTACTGATAGGAAACGCACAGCTTCACATGTAGATATGATAGAGCCCAGTAGGCTCAGGAACCTGTACATTAGCTGATTGACCGTTGAGAGGCGGGACCAAAGAGCCAGAGCTCAACCCCCACAAGCACAACTAGAGTACAAACATTTATGTCCTGGTAAGGGACATGCACTAGTTGATTGACCGTTGAGAGGCGGGACCAAAGAGCCAGAGCTCAACCCCCACAAGCACAACTAGAGTACAAACATTTATGTCCTGGTAAGGGACATGCACTAGTTGATTGACCGTTGAGAGGCGGGACCAAAGAGCCAGAGCTCAACCCCCACAAGCACAACTAGAGTACAAACATCTGTGTCCTGGTAAGGGACATGTCTCACCTCGCACTTGTGAGGTCTCTCTCCAGTGTGAGTGCGCATGTGTCGATGCAGCTTGCCAGAGTGTTCGAAGGATCGGTCACAGATATTGCACTTGTAAGGACGTTCCTTGGTGTGGATACGACGATGTACATTCAAGTTCTCCTTCACACTAAACGTCTTCTCACAGAACTCGCATCTGTTAATGACAAGATTAAAACTTATTAAGGGGGGTAGAAATAGCCTAAGCTACTCTAAGATTAAAACTTATTAAGGGGGGGTAGAACTAGCCTAAGCTACTAAGATTAAAACTTATTAAGGGGGGTAGAAATAGCCTAAGCTACTCTAAGATTAAAACTTATTAAGGGGGGTAGAAATAGCCTAATCTACTCTAAGATTAAAACTTATTAAGGGAGTAGAAATAGCGTAAGCTACACTATCTCTTTGAGATGTATTTCTTGTCTCAATAAACATGAACTAAAACTCATTATTGCATCTGTTGTTTTCCAATTAATATACAAAGTTATAATGATTATTAGCCTATTACAGAAATGATTGTGCAGCTCCTTAAAACCACTTGGAAATTAATATAAACAATTTATCAAGCCATTTTTAAATTCTTTGACAAAGATTGTCGTAGGACATGGAACTGAACAAGAATGCAAATTCATTGTATGCGTGAGCTGGTAGGACTGGATTGAGCTTGTATGAGTAACTATGATTTCACTTTCAGACTACGAGTCCTAATAACCTGGCTCAAGATATGATGACCAACCACACATCAGATGTTGGAAAAACGACGACGTTTCGGTCATTATCAAGTCGTGTGTGAACAACTTTATAATGATCCAGGACGGACCGAAACGTTCCTCCATATTCTGATGCGTTTGGTCATCATTTCACTTGACTCCTAAGATTCAAAGTTATTACAGATAACACCACAGGCAAAGCATTAAATAACAAATCCCATGGCAGCCTACTTACTTGAAAGGTTTCTCTCCGGTGTGAACGCGGTGATGGCGCGCTAGCCTAGCTGGGATGGCGAAACCTTTACCACAAATCTTACACTGGTAAGGTGGTTCTGCTCCAGCCATCATCTGCTCGGAGGGGCCTTGTTTTTCAACGTTGTGGTTCTGGAGCATAGGTGGTGATGGGTACTGGGCCTGCTGCAGGGGCTGTGGAGGCGGCTGCATTGGTCCAGGGAGATGGTGGGCCACGTGGGAAAAGCCCTGATCCACATCCATTATCATGGGAGCTGGTGGATAAGGAGCGGCGTCGAGGCCGCCTGGCATCATGGCCATGATGCTTATCTGTAAAGGTGTAAAAGGCGATTTAGAATGTGGTACTTGTATTAAAAGGTTTCTACACGTTCATTTATTTTGGTTGGTCTTGGAGGGTTAGTTTATTGGGCAGTCCCACATCTTGAGTGAGCATATCACGTAACTGTTCTCTAACACACCCCAATAGGAAGAAAACCCGCTGGGTTCATCCTATCACTTATACATTCTACATACATTTGCTAGAAGAATGTATTTGAAATAATTTCGTACAAACATTTATACATGAAGATTCAACATTGACATATTCCTTTATTCTATGAATAAAGAAATCATTAACTCCACTGCAGGAAGTTTTAACACACAGATTAATAAAAAATAATCAACTCCGTATTTTTTTTTAATTGGGAACATGATGGTTTCTGTAACTAATATCCTTTCTTTTTTTTGAAATTTCTTGCAAAGAAATTTTTTTTACAATACAAACGCAAAATCTTGACTTATATATATATATATATATATATATATATATATATATATATATATATATATATATATATATATATATATATATATATATATATATATATATATTATATATATATATATATATATATATATATATATATATATATATATATATATATATATATATATATATATATATATATATATATATATATATATATATATATATATATATATATATATATATATATATATAATTTTAAAAATCCAGTTGGATGACTACCTCACGATTTTAATTGAGCAAAGTTGGAGCTATCCCAATTTAACATTAAGTTTAACAGGAACAATAAGGCCAAAATAACGAGAAATTATCAACCAGGGTTCTAACAAAGCAATCCTCTACCCGAGCGTAGCACGAATGGGTCTGAACAAGAATAGGATTACGACACCTGGATTTCTCTCGGTAGCTCCCCTATGACTGTAATATCTCCATTGTTCAAACAATTGTGTATTAGCGATACGACCTACCATTAATATATAATGATAAACTGTAAATACATAGCTATTGAAATTGTAACATTTTCTGTAACTAGCTGATATTGTAATTATAAGGTGTGAAGGATAGATGAAATTGTTAATGTAATAATTACCGTTGAGGTCTTATAAAGACCTTTTTGTGCCCTCTGTAATCTTTTTTGCGCTACGGCTCACTGGATGAGTATGGGGTGCACAATAAACTAGCCTCAAATGGTCTTAAACATACATTAAGGAATTTATTATCACACGGAATACAAAGAACTGTAGTTATTACTTTATTCACTTTTGTAGTCTTCTTAGAATTAACATGTTAATTTTAAGTCGTATTAAATTTACTAATGATTAACACTGTTACCGAATTCATGGAACCCCAACCATGGCTGACGAGGTTCTGAACCCCAACCATGGCTGACGAGGTTCTGAACCCCAACCACGGCTGACGAGGTTCTGAACCCCAACCATGGCTGACGAGGTTCTGAACCCCAACCATGGCTGACGAGGTTCTGAACCCCAACCACGGCTGACGAGGTTCTGAACCCCAACCACGGCTGACGAGGTTCTGAACCCCAACCATGGCTGACGAGGTTCTGAACCCCAACCATGGCTGACGAGGTTCTGAACCCCAACCATGGCTGACGAGGTTTTGAACCCCAACCATGACTGGCAAGGCCCTGAATCCCAACCATAGCTGGCAAGGTCCAGAACCCCAACTATGGCTGGCCAGGTCCTGAACCCCAACCATGACTGGCGAAGCCCTGAACCCCAACCATAGCTGGCAAGGCCCTGAACCCCAACCATAGCTGGTAAGGCTCTGAACCCCAACCATAGCTGGCAAGGCCCTGAACCCCAACCATAGCTGGCAAGGCCCTGAACCCCAACCATAGCTGGCAAGGCCCTGAACCCCAACCATAGCTGGCAAGGCCCTGAACCCCAACCATGACTGGCAAGGCCCTGAACCCCAACCATAGCTGGCAAGGCCCTGAACCCCAACCATAGCTGGCAAGGCCCTGAACCCCAACCATGACTGGCAAGGCCCTGAACCCCAACCATGACTGGCAAGGCCCTGAACCCCAACCATAGCTGGCAAGGCCCTGAACCCCAACCATAGCTGGCAAGGCCCTGAACCCCAACCATAGCTGGCAAGGCCCTGAACCCCAACCATAGCTGGCAAGGCCCTGAACCCCAACCATGACTGGCAAGGCCCTGAACCCCAACCATGACTGGCAAGGCCCTGAACCCCAACCATAGCTGGCAAGGCCCTGAACCCCAACCATAGCTGGCAAGGCCCTGAACCCCAACCATGACTGGCAAGGCCCTGAACTCCAACCATAGCTGGCAAGGCCCTGAACCCCAACCATGACTGGCGAAGCCCTGAAGCCCAACCATAGCTGGCAAGGCCCTGAACCCCAACCAACAGAACTATCGTAGAAGAATAATTCTGAAGACAGTAATAGCCGGATGAGGTCTACCAATTTCCATATATCGCATCCCCAAAATAATCATCAAACAAATGTCCATCATTTGTAATGACTGTACCATCAATTAGACACAAATTAATCACCAGAAACGTCAATCAGAACGATGACATATGTACATATAAAGCCGAGATATCAACCAGCTTCTTGTACGTCGACACTGATATATTCTGCATTTCTCATTATAGCTGCTAATACACTATCACAGATACGATATCACAATACTAACCAGTATTTAATTAGAGGGTGATAATAAGCTTTCCGTAGTTAATTGTTAACACTGCTCACTGAAGGAGGAATGCCATAGATAGTTTCCGGTTTTCCTTGAAGTCACTAGACTTGACACTGTAAGCGCTTGAGCTAAGGGGCCGGCAGTAGTCCTTGGGCGTGTGTGTGCTCACTGAAGAAGCTCAGCTTATGAACTATACCAGGATGTCTCCCGGGATACACATATATGCCTGTTGTTCACACAAGCGCAGAAGGTTCACTTTGTTCATTCTCCCCTTCACACTCTTGGCTGGAGAAATGTAGCCTCCGCCCCCAAATACCCAACATATCGTACCGACCCCGATAAACATTCAAGGGGAGACTATGTAAACAAATTATTTTTGTTTTTTATGTTAGTGTTTGGGTAGTGTGGTGGAATTGTTGTGGTATGAGTATGTTTGTTAGTTGGTATAGGGTTTTGGTGTGTGGTTGTAAGGGGATGGGTTGTCTTGCGGCTGGCAGTGTGGTGTAGGAGGACTCGTGGCTCGGGCGGCGCGGGGCGGACGGGGCTCCTTACTCGTGTGCCGCCGCCCGCTCCCTTCAACAACGGCATAAGTCCAGCCCAATATTTTGAATGACCTCTTCTCCCATACGGTACCTTGGTGATACCCATTGTTGGTCACTAATATAGGAATTTATATCTATATTTATATCTTATAGATACTTAATTATGGAAGGGTGTTATACGACGTAATACTTGCAGTTAGGTTCATGAAGCTGCCTTCAAAGATCACTTTGTAATACATGTGGCTCCGTCGCCACGAGCGCTCCGCTTCTGAAGCAAATAATTCATCAATTATATATAAGTGCATTGTGCATTATAGCAGCAGGAACACACATGTGCAGTGTCTGCGCATTATACTTAGAGGCGTTGCTACGGCATTGTAGAATTCACATGAAAACTGGAATTATTAATTAAACATCTCTCTCTCTCTCTCTCTCTCTCTCTCTCTCTCTCTCTCTCTCTCTCTCTCTCTCTCTCTCTCTCTCTCTCTCTCTCTCTCTCTATATATATATATATATATATATAACCTATCCTTGTACAAACTCTTAAATCATAGATTAACGGTGCTATAACAATGTCAGACCACGGAGGAAGAATTGAAACAGGAATTTCCTTAAGTACTTTCGTATATTAAAACATCTTCAGAAGGAATGATGACAATATATAAAGACTTTAATAAGATTGCAACCTTTTTTTAAACTTTTTTGTTTAAAATACAATACAATTTTTGCGGTTGAGTGATGATATTATCAAATAGTCTGGAGGAATATTTGTTTAATTTTGTTTTAAAAATTTATTTGGTTGACATTACGCGTTTTATACAAAGATTTGGTATAATAACATTATCATGTTGGTAAAAAAATAAAAATCACAGGATTGTTAGCCATACAGGATCATGTGGTCATTAGGTTATTGTGAACTGGATTACACACATTCTTATAGCTTTATGTGGACTAAGCATTAGAGTGGATTTAATTAGTTTTTTTAATGTTTCATAATGACTTCAACTGCAAGAAATTTAAGCATACAACAATTATGCTACTTTCTGATTACATTTTTGGTGTGGATAGGCAGGGAGGAGGATTACTGTGTGTGGATAGGCTGGCAGGAGGATTACTGAGTGTGGATAGGCTGGCAGGAGGATTACTGTGTGTGGATAGGCTGGCAGGAGGATTACTGAGTGTGGATAGGCTGGCAGGAGGATTACTGAGTGTGGATAGGCTGGCAGGAGGATTACTGTGTGTGGATAGGCAGGCAGGAGGCTTACTGTGTGTGGATAGACAGGCAGGAGGATTACTGTGTGTGGATAGACAGGCAGGAGGATTACTGTGTGTGGATAGGCAGGCAGGAGGGTTACTGTATGTGGATAGGCAGGCAGGAGGGTTACTGTGTGTGGATAGGCAGGCAGGAGGGTTACTGTGTGTGGATAGACAGGCAGGAGGATTACTGTGTGTGGATAGGCAGGCAGGAGGTTTACTGTGTGTGGATAAGCAGGCAGGAGGGTTATTGTGTGTGGATAGGCAGGCAGGAGGATTACTGTGTAGGGATAGGCAAGCAGGAGGATTACTGTGTAGGGATAGACAGGCAGGAGGATTACTGTGTGTGGATAGACAGGCAGGAGGCTTACTGTGTGTGGATAGACAGGCAGGAGGCTTACTGTGTGTGGATAGACAGGCAGGAGGCTTACTGTGTGTGGATAGACAGGCAGGAGGATTACTGTGTGTGGATAGACAGGCAGGAGGGTTACTGTGTGTGGATAGACAGGCAGGAGGATTACTGTGTGTGGATAGACAGGCAGGAGGCTTACTGTGTGTGGATAGACAGGCAGGCGGGTTACAACAAAATATTAAATATTTAATACAAAATATTAAAATATACTTAAAATAAACTTTCGGGGTTTACGGCTCATGCTCTGTGATGATAAAGAAAAATTGGTTCACGAAGAATTATAGAAACTATAAATAAATGTAGTATTTTCCCCTTGTAAATTGATGTAAATATGATCTTTATTTTGTATATTATTTAATAAAGAAAGAAAAAGTAGGTTCAGTGGTAACTACAAATAATCTCATGTCTTGAAGTTATAATACAGCAACTTACAAGTTTTTTATACTTATTAAGTAGAGAAAAACATTAATTGTGGACGTAATTTTACAAATTATCATTTCACACTAGAAGGTGAAGGGACGACGACGTTTCGGTCCGTCCTGGACCATTCTAAAGTCGATTTGAGTTCCTCTTTATATAAATTGATATTGCTTAGAAGAGATATACGCACCAATAACCTACAGGAGTAAGCAGTTAAAATTAGGTTAGGCTAGGTGAGGGGTGCCCTAGTACACTTAAATGACATATACCTGACCACACACACCTATCCCTGACCCACGCTATCCCACTAACCCGTACACTCCATAAGGGAAGCCTGGCTAAGATATATTTACGTGGACAGCTCTGAGAGCCCTGATGGGGGCTGGCTATTATAGCCTTCATTCAAGATTGATTTACGGCTCACAGACAGGCGCCAGGAGGCCGGCCGTAGGGGTGAAGCGTTGTGTCCTTTGTAGGTGAAACTGAACCGTATAATTTAAGCAAGTCATGTGTCTAGGGTGCTCACTCACCCATTGAGGTGTTGTGCATGGTGTAATGTGTGGGAGTGTGAGCTCATAGAGGAGTGATTGTGGTAGGATGAGCCCTTGAGAACACGCTAATGGCTTTCCGCTGGTTATTTCTAGTCTAAGAATTGTCACCTCCAGAATAAGTTTAGCCGGTCGGAGCCGGGGAGCCGGTCGGAGCCGGGGAGCCGGTCGGAGCCGGGGAGCCGGTCGGCCGAGCGGACAGCACGCTGGACTTGTGATCCTGTGGTCCCGGGGTCGATCCCAGGCGCCGGCGAGAAACAATGGGCAGAGTTTCTTTCACCCTATGCCCCTGTTACCTAGCAGTAAAATAGGTACCTGGGTGTTAGTCAGCTGTCATGGGCTGCTTCCTGGGGGTGGAGGCCTGGTCGAGGACCGGGCCGCGGGGACACTAAAGCCCCGAAATCATCTCAAGATATAGCCTGTCATTTTGATGTCCTATGCAATAAATGAAACTGTCGCACTGAATTGGCTCATAAATAGAATTTAGTTTCAAATGAGCTGATGTTGGATAACAGCGTTTGGCTTGCAGTTTCAATAGGAATATCAACAGCATTCCTAATAGTGCCTAACTAGCCTTACTAGTAAAATAAGTATTCAAAATAGAATTCTGGCTGGAGATAAATAATTTTATTTATTACAGATAATGAAGTACAGTACTATAGAATTTCAATGTCCTATGTTTAAGGATATCGGAGTAGATGTTAAAGGGGTTATGATATCTATTGATAACGTAATTTTTTATTTCTCAATAATTACAGGGGTTGGGGTTTATAAAATTAGGGATCAAAATGTGCACAGATATCACTGATATCAAGAGTGAGGCAAAATTCGTTATCATCTGTAGCATATTGCTGTAAATTTATCTTTGAAAACTTTGCATATATTTCAAGGCTTGTTTGATGTACTTACCACCAATTTAGCGGAGAAAATTGAGCAATTTTAGACATTTAACCAAACCTACTTGTCAACTTTTTTCGAAGGCTGAATGTGACGTATAGAAGACAGAGGTCATATGCAATGAACAGTTGAAAATGGTTATCATTCCAGGAGAGATATTAGGAAAAGGAGGTGACTTTATCAGGCCTAACATTACAATTTATTCAAATATTGTGTCATCGGTATTGCGCGATACGAGGCTGTCGCCGCGGGTACATTTTTTTCCATGCTTGAAAATTCATAAGGAAATTGGTGAGGCTGGGAATGAAGGGCTCTCCTCCGAAAAGTGAGTCTAATGTCCCTTTGCATTACATGAACAAATATTCTTTCCTTTGTCTTTAGTCCCTTTGTACACACGTGTTTGATATTGGAGCCGTCAATGGCTATACAGTTGACAGAAACAATAAAAGCCAAAATATAATATAAATAGACGTATAAATAAACGCTAAAACAGCCAAGCGTTTTAGTAAGCAGGAGCAGACATTGAAGTTGTTGTTGTTAAAGATTCGCTACCTGGAACAAAGTTCAAAGTAGCACGGGCTATGGTGAGCCCGTAACGCCCTTACACATTGAAGTATTTGGTCATCTAATAGAGCACAAGAACTCTGGGCAAACGAGGTTGATTTAATATTCCTCGAAATATATTTATGCCCGATGTTGATAGGGTACATATACAATACAAATACAATACAATACAACACAGATACAATGGCTACAAATATATACAAAAAAGATTCGATCCAAATATTGGCGAGTGGCCAGGGGCCAGATTCACGAAAGCACTTACGCAAACACTTACGAACCTGTACATCTTTTCTCAATCTTTGGCGGCTTTGTTTACAATTATTAAACAGGTAATGAGCTCCGAAGCACCAGGAGGCTGTTTAGAACAATAGCAACAGTTGAATGGGAAGTTTTCACGCTTGTAAACTGTTTAATAAATGTAACCAAAGCCGTCAAAGATTGAGGAAAGATGTACACGTTCGTAAGTGTTTGCGTAAGTGCTTTCGTGAATCTGGCCCCAGGAAAGCAATGGTACATGACTAAGATATTGACCGCTTAAACTATACGACTGAAGTGACATGCAGAGGTGTACCCATTCTGTGTATTTATATTTATATGTAACTAGTTTACAATAGTCCTAGACTAAAGTATACTTTGTTGGT